ACTCATATAATGTTTCTAATAGAAGGCCTTGTGGTAACCCGGTGTCATATTAATGTGTAGTATATATCTTCTTATCAAACACACGTATCGTATAGCCCGATGAATATGCTTTGGTTTTGTCAGTTTGTAAATTTATTATCGGGGTATCGCACAGCTTGCTCGTTCACATCGGAGGCGTCCTCGCCTCCAGATGCCAAGTTCATCCTGCAGCCGCTGAGGGCGCCTTTCCGGTTGGACTTCGACGTGAAGACGGAACGCGATGCCATTATCGTCCTGGCGGAGGAAAAGACAACCGCATCTGTCTTTGCCTGGATAAGTGAGTACCACTGAACTATAGTTTAGTTACTTATTTTCTTTTTTGTTAAGTGTATCGCAAGATCCACTGTGGGATCCAGGTACATGGCCTCAACGGCCTAGTGGTAATGTCATGAAGTTCTGAAGGGAGCATGCGAACTTTATTTCGTTTGAACGCAGGAGAGCAATCTCGTGAAACCAGTAGGCGAACGCATTTTCTCGTGAAAGCGATATAATTGATAAGATATATCAACCGGTTGAAAACACATAGATCTTAATGACATCACCGAAAACCTTTGTTTTTATTTAGCCATAGACGGCTGGGGGGCGACAAGTCGGTCGGTCATCCGAGCCTGTTTTTCGCCTGACAAACCGGAATGCCGTCAGTTGTTCGGTGGGCGCTCAGAGTACATCGAGGTAGATATCGTCAGTGCTACTGAAAGTCGCCCCTTCTGGATGGAGTTCAGACACGGCGTGGTGACCGTCGGCAAAGGAGGACAGGAGGAGGCTTTCTTGGAGTGGGACGCCGCTGCGTATCATCAGCGCATCATATCAACGCCGGTATACCTTGGTATAAGTGCTTGGAGTGTTGTAGGCTTATCCGCGGACTGGGTGTTCTACCAATTCTGTGCCTAAGAATACAAAAGCAATGGGTCTACTGAGGGTGTTGTGTGACGAGGTACGGACAGTTGAATTAATACGTATATAGAGGCATTTTACCAAAATAGTAACCCGTATACTCACGGCAATAAACTTATACTCACGTGTGTTTGTGGGTCAACCCTAAAAATGGCGCCCCGTTCCCTCAACATTATGGCCAAGTAGACGACCGAGACATGCAAACGTCACAGTGTACACGTGTCCTTATGGAAGCCAACTCGGCACAAGGGTGACACCCTACATACTGATTCCTATAAAATTTAATGTTTTGGGTTTTTTATATTTGCTTGTAGTCTAAACTGGTCCTTGCAAATGTTTCACTTTTGCCACTTTGGTAGTTCTCAAAATTAAAGCACTTTAATTCAATATTGTCAAGTAATTAAGTCACAGTGTATTCACACGTGTCCTTATGGAAGCCAACTCGGCACAAACACCCTACATGATACTGATTCCTATAAACGATTGATGTATTATATCGTAGAAATGAATGTAGGATTACTGATCGTAAGTTGTTTTCATATTGTATGAAATAACGCACAGATGGAGTTGTATTGAAGTGACTGTTTGTAAGTGTTCGCTGTTTTCACTATGTAATTGATATGCGTATAATCTTAAGTAAACAAGTCTTTAATAGTAAACGTTCCTTGCAGTTTTGTCAGCTTGGTAGTAATAATGCATTAATAATGCAAGTGTATAGAGAGTGATTCATATAAAGCGAATGTATTAAGGTTCCTTTTTTATCTCAATATCGTAGTTAAGAAAAAATGATATATATTTAAGTTATCCGTGGTGTTAAGGTGTATTTTACATATACTGAGTGACTGGTGATAAGATCGCCAGTGCATGTCTATGCACCCGACAAAATGTACCACAGCATGTAAATAATGAGATTTGATGTATGTCTTGCTTGTTACTAGATCAAAGAGGAGATGCAGTAACAGACAAAATGTGTCATTGATATGTCGCTCTATTGCATGCACATCAAGAATGAAAATCGCTAAAAAAAAATAACACGCTGTATGCGGAGTAGTGTGGGATCTTATACAGAAGTTTGTAAGTTCAACTGTTATTAATTGGAAAAAAAGGATAATAGGCAATAGAGTCGTTTGGGCATGGAGTAACCGGAGTGATGAAGGGAACATTTTGACCCCCTTTGTGTTAGCTGGAGGCGATTAAACACGCCTATCGGTTGAGTAGCTTGATTTTTGTTTAATTAAACATAGGAAGTTAGGCTGGAGCAACGTTGATGAACCATTATTAAACTCAGACCGCATGGAAACCAATTCCACACAAAAGTCATTGTTACGGTTACTATGGAAACTATGTGACAACAAATTTAAACAAAAGTTGACTTGACAAATGCCAGTCTCGATGGGGAGTGGTGCGCTCGCCGTTTTGACGCAGATACCAAAGTCAAGAACTGCTGGCTGGAGATGGGAAACGCGCGTAAAAATGTTGGTGTTCGTTTTGGCTTTTGGGTTTGTTAGTACCCTCTCTTTGCTACCCGTACGAGGGAAGATGTGTAGCGCCATGATCAATGCTACACCCGGTGATGATCTGACCACGCTTCGTGACAAGGCTTTCGCGGCTTTCAGAACCGAATGCCGTGGTAAACAAGGCAATCTCAACGACACCAAATGTAAGTGATTCTACCTTAAACACTCGATTCGCTGCATAAACAATGCTAATGCTGCCAATTTTACAGCGTGGATCGGTAACAGCGTCCTTTAAATTATATGCAAATTATTAGGTGTAGTTACGAGTGTTAGTCTTATTAGTTACACTAACAGCGTGCATTCAATTTTTATTTTTGATGTACCCTAATGTCGCGCACGTGGATTTTTCGCCTCTAGTGCCTTGCTAGAGCAAAATGTTTACCTCCAATTACACAGCAAGTGAAATTTCATCAAGCTCTAAACATTCCCGTTCACAAATCTTGAGTTTACGTAACCGCTCTACAAACGTCTAGAGAAATTCTATTTTGGCGTGATTTTCCGATTATATTTTGAAGTGCACAGTCGAAACCCTTTTAAAATGCGTCAAAAAATGATTTTCTCACAAACGAATAGTTGGATGTGTGAGTGGCGATAATAAACATTTATCGGAATTTATCAAGTTTAAAGAAATTTGTAAATGTTATTGTGGGATTTTCCGAGATTTGTTCAGGTGCGCGACATTAGGGAAAACGCGGCCGGATTTGTGCCCAATTTCCGGACGCCACCGTTTTTGAATTGTGGACTTAAGCAATTTCTTCACAAAGGTACAACAGCAACATCGTTTACGGTAATGGTATTTGAGAGATGAATTTGACGTTGTTCAACAAAGAGGTTTGGCAACACTGCCTGAGGAACGTCAGGGGAAATGTGCGCCACTTTGGGGAACAGGACTAATTTCCGTTTCCCTTGGTGGTGTTCCCTAAAGTGGCGCACTTCGACGTTTCCCCCGATTTTCTTCATGAGGTGTTGCCAAACTTCTTTGCTGACAAACTTCAAATTCACTGAGGTAAATACTGGTACTATGCTGTTGAAACTTTCTGAACAATTTTAGTCTGAAGTACAAAAAAACAGTGGCGTCCGGAAATTGGGCACGAAATTTGCCCAACATGTTCCCTAGTAAAGAGGAACACTTGTCGAATGAATAAATCTCGGAAAATCCGAAGTTAACCGTTTATTTCTTTAAGGTTGATAAATTCTGATAAACCATTATTATCTTTACTTACGTACCCCCAACAAGTAATTTGTCAGAAAATTATTTTCTTATTTTTGGACGCATATTTGCAAAGTATTCAATGCCAGTGCACTTAAACTCGAAAAAGTCGCGCCCAATAAATGTCTCTGACTTTGTAATGGGTTGATAAACTCACGATTTATGATCAGGAATGTTTAGAACTTGATGAAAATGCTCACACTGTGAAATGTCAGATAAAACTTTGGCTCTAGCAGGGCGCTATGGGCGAAAAGTCAAGTGCGCCACGTTAGGGGCTGCGCCACGTTAGGGTACACCAACAATATGACGTTTTGAACGCCCGAGTGGCGCATACCGTATGTATACGCGTACCCGGGCGAATGCCCGAGTGCAATGCGCCCTCTGGGCGTTAAAAACGTAATATCCCACATCACAGCAGTCAAAAATTGTTCTGTTATACCTCTGTCTTTGATCCTTATATTGTGATGTAAAAAGCACGAAAACAAACAACATTAAACACAACAATCATGACCGTAACGTCAACTCACGTGCATGTGGCGTCGGCGAGCTCAAAACAGCTGATCGTCTGCTAATTCGCTGCTCCCACTCATATGTGAAAACATGGTGGAAACAAGCGTGGGTACCAACGACACGAGCGTCGAGCGCCCCTACGCGCGGTGGCGTGGAAAGTTACCACTAGTGTCGGTACGTGTCAGTGGTTCTCGGTGTTTTATTTCTGATCTCTTTTCGTGACAAAATTGAAATGTTTGCTTACAGAATTATTTATTGTATAACACATTTTGCAATGGAGGTCACGGTCGAGTCCATCACAATTCCCTGCATGAGTCAATCCTCCGGCCCAACTCCCAATTCAGCAATTATTCAAATTACCTTTTACAATTTTTTTTTTCATCCTTGTATAGGCAGTACTCGTAGACTGGACTTGTGACGGACTTGACCAAAGATCCTAGAGCGCGCATAGCGTGCTCTAGGATGGACTTGACTACATGATCCCTGACATAAAGGAATTTAAAGAACAGTCATGGAGATTGTGTGGTCGGTGTGCATATGTTACTTTATCTGTTGAGCTTTTTAATTATTAATTGTTGAGAAGTATTATTTTAGAAATGTATTGTGCCAAATCAACTGGGAGATTAAAACACAAATTAGTGGCAAAGTGTCGTACATGTTATCTTTGACACCCCCCCCCCCCCCCCGCTCCATCCCCGCCTCAATTCAAAACAAGAGTAGTAGTGAACGATGAGGGCGCCTGAAAATAAAAGTTTTATGTAAAGTACGGCCTTGTAGTCTGGCACCCTGTCTTCAATTAACGTTCTGGCATAACAATGAAGGGAGGGTTTGTGAAAACCAGTCTAATTGTTGTACTAAACAAATGAATCGGGAAGGTCGAACAGTCCGCGCTCTGATTCCCCCATGGTTCAGCTCAAAAAGCAAACATGGAAATACCTCTTGCAATAATAATCCTGCTTTGCATGAGTAGCGAAGCGTTTGGTAAGTCAAAGCACGGACTAACTCGGAGAAACTATCAAATGTTCTGCCATTCGGCTAGCGAATAAAGTAATCGCCGTTTTCTATGGCATTATGCGCGTGAATGCAGTTTGTGCGGCCGGGCCGCGCCTGCGTGCCAGCGCCTGCATAAAGGAATAAAGCCCCACCTGTGATTTGTGTGACCTCGATATTGCTGCACTGTCTGCATGGTCTGTATTGTTGATGTACCCTAACGTGGCGCGGCCCCTAACGTGGCGCGGCCCCTAACGTGGCGCGGCCCCTAACGTGGCGCGGCCCCTAACGTGGCGCGGCCCCTAACGTGGCGCGGCCCCTAACGTGGCGCGGCCCCTAACGTGGCGCGGCCCCTAACGTGGCGCGGCCCCTAACGTGGCGCGGCCCCTAACGTGGCGCGGCCCCTAACGTGGCGCGGCCCCTAACGTGGCGCGGCCCCTAACGTGGCGCGGCCCCTAACGTGGCGCGGCCCCTAACGTGGCGCGGCCCCTAACGTGGCGCGGCCCCTAACGTGGCGCGGCCCCTAACGTGGCGCGGCCCCTAACGTGGCGCGGCCCCTAACGTGGCGCGGCCCCTAACGTGGCGCGGCCCCTAACGTGGCGCGGCCCCTAACGTGGCGCGGCCCCTAACGTGGCGCGGCCCCTAACGTGGCGCGGCCCCTAACGTGGCGCGGCCCCTAACGTGGCGCGGCCCCTAACGTGGCGCGGCCCCTAACGTGGCGCGGCCCCTAACGTGGCGCGGCCCCTAACGTGGCGCACTTTGATTTTTCGCCTGTAGCGCCTACCTAGAGCAAAAGTTTTAACTGAAATTTCACAGAAAGTGAAATTGCATCAAGTTCTAAACAGTCCTGTTCATAAATCGCGAGTTTATTTACCCGTAACAAAGTTAGAAGGAAAAGTTATTTTGGCGTGATTTTCCGATTTTATTTTCAAGTGCAAAGTGAACCCTTTGAAAATGCCCTGAAAAATAAGAAAATAATTTTCTGACAAACATCTGGCTGGGTATGTAAGTAGAGATAATAATTATTTATCAGAATTTATCAAGTTTACAGGAATTCTTAAGTGTTAATTTGGAATTTTCCAAGATTTATTCAAGTGCGCCACGTTAGGGAACACTCCGCCAATTTGTGCCCAATTTCCGGACGCCACCGTTTTTGAATTTCGGATTAAATTTTATGAAACCGAAATTGTTCACAGAGGTTAAATAGCAAGCATTAATAAGGTAAAAGTACCAGTATTTTAATGCATGAATTTGAAGTTTGTCAACAAAGAGGTTTGGCAACACTACACGAGGAAAGTCGGGTAAGCTTCGAAGTGCGCCACGTTAGGGAACACGACTATACACAGAGGCCACACAATTGGGCGCTCGTGAAGTGTAGAGCCCCCGTTTATTTTGATCAATTTAGAGTCGAACATGTTGCTCAAAAATGACCTTTTTCTATCAAAATCAGTTAGACTTCTCTCAATTTTACTTTATAGTACGAGTAACTAGGACTCTACGAATCGCCTTTTTTAACATTTGGACATCTTATTTGCCAGCTGAACACTCCATTATTTAGCTAGAGGGGTGTTTCCAAAAACATGAAGTGAACTTGTTGAACAAAATGATGGTTTTTCAATCGAAAAGCTTTGTTTTTTTTGCCGAAAAGGTGTTTATGAATGGGAATAAATATGTGATTGGTCGGTACCCTCGCCTTCGGCTCGGGTAATTATCAGCACCCAGACTTCAAGTAGTCTTAAGCACACATTTATTCCCTTATAAAAAGGTTAGTTTTAACAACATTTCTTTTTGTTTACAGATTGTGTGTCAGAAATGCACGGAAAAAAAAAAACCTGTATACTCATGGGAACCTAAGTTCAGTGGCGTCACAATAGTGTATATGTACTTTTAATTAGAAACATATGTAAATATTTCCATAAAAATGAAGAGATGACCAGCAAATGGCCTTGAAAAAAATTCTGCTGTTTTTCTAATCACAGATGATGCCTCAATATATTACTTTCTTTCCAGAGCTGCCTTATTTGCGGACACCACCAACTGTCACACCCGACTACTTAGCACCCAGAAACTTAATAATCTCTTGGCGTTCCTGGGAATCTGATGGTGGAGGTGACGGCCCTATTACAGGCTACGAAGTCCTCTATCGTTATGCAAGGAACGGATCGGGAGATAGCAGCTACGACTACAGCCGGACCGTGGATTCCAACGTCACCACATCTGTGGTGATTGGGGGTTTGGACGTGGAGACGGATTACGATTTTGCCATCGTCGTCGTAGGAGAAGGTGGGGCGGGATCGCCCTCCAATAAGACGACCTACAAGACTCTGTGCGCAGGTATTCACCCTAAAGATACCCCTCGTAAACAAACTTACAAAAGCTTGTACTGACTGAGTCTTCTTTGGGTTGTTTACTTAAAAGTTGTCAGTTATAGGGCTGTCCCGAATACACCAAATATTTGATCATCAGCCGAATATTCCAGTAGCTTCTTGCTGCTTTGAATATTCAAAAACACAAAATTATGCACATAAACCCACAACTGTGGTGTTATTTTATCACGAAGTCACAGCGATTTAGTGTGAGGTGCTGCTGTTATGTTGACGGTAACTTTATTCTTTACGGCAGTTCAGTGTTTTCATCCTTTTTGCAGATTAAACCCTTGTCAGTTACACAATAGTTACTGCAAAACATTTCATCTCGATTGCCGCATGCGCATTTTAACTGACACACTCTGCTTGCAAATTTTGACCAGGTTTTTTTTTTTTTTTTTTTTTTTTAAGCTCCGTCGGCTCCACTAACGCTTAGCGTCAGCAGAATTGAGACAGATGAGCTTGAGATAACATGGGAGGTAGGTATATTGTGTTTTAAGCTCTATCAGATCACCACAAACATAGTATGACAGAATTTCAAGCAGAGAGAGATTTACTCTTAATACCCTGAATTAGGCCTGTTTTGTACAGGGGGATTTTTTGGGGGTTTTTGTTAGATCCAAAGATTTTGAAGATGACTGCACAGGTTTCAGTAAGGTGTCTGCAAATTTACACATTCAATATTTTGTAAAGTGGTAAAAATTTTGACAAAATTAATGAAATTAACACTTTATTAATCGACCTGTGACTGGATTCTTTTACTTTTGTTTACTTATTCCGATTGGTCGAGAGCCCGTCACGTGACCGGTTTTCAAAAGTTGATAAGTACCTGCCGGCCAATTTTAAACACATTTCCATTGTCACATGAAATTTGGACTTCTATGAAATCCAGTGCCTTTTACTGTTTTATTGGTTGAACGTGCACAATCCTCACGTAGGCATGCGCAATACTACCAGGGTGTACATGTAGGTATTTCATACTTCACAAAATACACAATACACCGGCACAGCTGCGTTTTGTGCCACAATGTTTAATATGCGTGATGCGTGCGCCAATCTCCATATAGGAAGGGTTTTTTACGACTCCTTGGGAAAGAGACATACCATAATATAGCCAGAAGAAAAGTTCATTGAACAAAATCGTTGGAAATTTAAAATGTTTGACTGGTTTTGATTTTTTTCCCAAAAAGGTATGTATGAATAGGAATAAATTTGGCTCGGGTGATTATCAGCATCCAGAAGCCAACCTGTCTTAAACAGAGTGTTTAGAACTGCCCAAGCATACACTCAATATTTTAATGATTAAATAACTCATCTTAAATGGATACCACCAATATAGGTTGCATTGTAGCTGTTAGGCAAAAAAAAAAAAATCGGTCTCTGGTCAGACCGAATGTTCCGGAATTGATGCGGCGCCGCGGTTTTGTTTTGGTTTTATTGGTGTTTTTTTTTGTTTTTCAAGCTGGAATTGTACAGACAAGGTGGGTACTATTTTGCTTTTTTGTGTCCTCATTTTACATTGGTGTCCTCCATTATTTGCCACGGTGCCCCTTGTCATTTGCCTTTGTGAAGTTTCCCCATTCCTTGGTGCTCCTTGGTTCAAAAATTTGAGGATGTGCGGCAATAGAGGGCGCTGTTGTAGCTTCCGTGTTAATTTCAAGGGAAAAAAGGTTGACGCGCATGATTAAAATCGACGCGCGCGCTGACCAGAGACCGAGTATTTTTTCTTTTGGCCTTATATAAGTTTTTGTAAATCCATTTTTAATCCTTTTTTTTATCTATTTCTATTTTGAAGTTGTGTTTGTTTTTTGTACATGCAGTTGCCACCGCCGTCAACTTGGGGCTGTAGCGAGTTAGGTTCCCAAGTTTTCCTGCAGTGGAAGCAATCGCTATCAACCTCCTTTACTTTGGTCTATATGGATCGTGCCCTAGGTTCCTACAACCTGTCGTTGCTGACCCCCTGCATTATGTACGACCTGAAGGCGCAATTTTCGAGCCCCTCCTTTTTGTTGAGCCCTGAGAGCGAAGTGATCAGTGCGACTACTGCCAAGACAGGTAGGGTGGAGTTTCAAGACCTCATAAACTTCAACTTTCTGCAAGTAGTTGTCTAATCTTTTGTGGACGAGGTTCAAAATCTTCAGTTAAATGTTGGTACTGTTGCTTAGAAACAAGACGAGACAAGCACAGTAATATAATAATAATAAAAGCAGGCATTTGTAGTGCTTTTGAGCAGCAACAGGGTATCAAAGCGTTTTACAATTACTATTTTCCCTATTTCAATGGCAAACACTCTTGAAAGGTTCTCAACGCCCTTGGCGCTCTTGGCCGTAATCAACCTCTCGCAGTCACCAACACTGCCCTCACAGGTACCCATTCACTCGTGGGTGGAGAGAAGCAATGAGTGACAAAGCGCCTTGCCCAAGGGCACACGCACCATAACCCCAGGCTGGACTCGAACCCACAACCTGCAGAATTACCCGCAGACTACAAATTCAATGCTCCAGACCACGAAGCCACGGCCTTCCAAGTTAAAGTCGGTCCAAGAGTGCACACAATTTTATTCAATCTTTTTTTTAAAATTTGTGGCACTTTTAAAAGGCTGCACTGCGCACCTTAAATGAAAGACCGGAAAACTTGTTGATTGAGAAATGCCTCTTGAAACTTTGTAACGTCTCAGTAGACGAAAGATCTATGCACAAAGATAAAAAACTTGTCGCAATTTCAAGTAACTCTTCATGCATGGATTCCGCAAGCTTCCTTTGTTATGAAAACACCAATTGACACATTTTTATTCCCTGGCAATTAAGCCAGACAGGGGAATGTTGCGATCCCGTATTCCTTCTGTGTGTCTGTATGTATGTACGTACGTGAATTATACACCCCAAGGACAGACAGACAAAGGGAGAACAACAGATTCTTTGTTGTCCTCGAGAGTTCATCTTTTGTTGAAATCGGTCCTCGGTCGTGCGTTTGTGTGCTTAGTCTATGGGAGAGTGTTATATTACAGGGACAAAGGAAAATACAAAGCATTGTCCTCGAGAGTATAGTAAAACACGACTGTGTGTGCCTGTGTACCATTTTGGTTAGGTTCACTGTAAGTTCAGCCATCAATCTCAACTAAACTTGATCTGTGGGTAGTGTTCAGGGTATCTGGACAACAGACTCAGGCAACAGGTCATGACCTCCAGGTTTATTTTACAAGCCTTGTGTTTATGTACATTTTTTTCCCTAGTGTTGTGCAAGTTATGGTTAAGGCCCCTATGTTGCTGCAATACACATGTGTCAAAACACTGCCTGACTAAACATGGCTGCCCACCATTTTCTTTCTCTGCAATCTGGAAACCCGTACAATGAGAAGTACATTTTTCTTTAGTACAGTTAGTTCTGTTAGCAATACTGTTTTCTTTTCTTGCTGTAATATGTAACTGCCAGCATGCCAGGGGATCGAGCAAGTTTCACTTGCAGTATTTTTCTGACATTGCAGAACCGCCACCGGTCAGTTATGTCAACACCAGATATGCAGAGGACTCAATGGAGCTTGAAGTCACCTGGCCGTACCCGGTTAACTATAACAGGATGTGTATTGAAGAATTCCACGTAACCCTCACACCGCTCCGGCTGGTTGCCTGCGAGACAGACATCGTATCACCGGTAACCCAAATACAGGTTGTGCTGGCCAATTCGACTGGGGTCGTCTTCGGTGCCGTATTGCCGTATACCGAGTACAATGCCACAGTTACGTCCAGTAACGAACTTGGAAAATCCGAAGTGACGTTCAAGACTGGTGTCACTAGTGAAACATGTGAGTTAGAAAAAAAAGGCTGGTACCATATTTCAATAGGGGGCGCTGTTCAAATTCGACGATTATTAACACTAGATTACAGAATGGTGTACCGTATTTTGAACAGGCGGACATTATACCAGTATAATTTTTTGGGGGTGTCACAGGGGGGGGGGGGTCGATTTCTTTTTTAGGAATTTGTAGGATTTTTTTTTTTGACAGAGTTTTGACCCCAAATTTGAACCCTCCCCCCCCCCTCTGGATCTGCACCTGAATGAGCACATATTTGGTCTCACAGTTTGAACAGAAATCCCTGAACTGAACAGAGTCTTCCTGAAGTGACATCACAGCAGAAGCGCCCTCAGTTGTCTGAAAAAGCATGGACACAAGAAGTGCACTCTTCAGTAACTTAAACCAAAACACAATGTCAAGTGGTTTTCATAGATTTGAAATGTGTTTAAAATCACACAAAATGTGTTCCTAAGAAAAATTCATTTCATGGACTCGTCCATCTTTTTAATCTTTTTTTTTTAATTTCCCAGTGCCGAGTGTCATGCAAGCAGTGCAGGTGGCAGAGGTATCCCCGCGCTCTGTGCGGTTAGCCTGGACCCGCATACCCTGCGAGGACGTGCACGGGGCCTTCTACCAGTACTCATTCCTCTTCACCAATAATCAAACTGGAGAGACATTCTCCAGGCAGAGCGGAGACATTGATGTGACTGAGCTGTCGGAGAGGACCGTCCTGCCGTGCATGTCGTACAACGTACAGATCAGAGCTGTATCCGGAGCCGGCAATGGCCCATGGAGTGAGAAACAACGATTCAGGACCACGCCAGAAGGTAAAGGTGTCTGAGTATCACCCGTTATCCATGGAGCCAATTCTCCTGTTTAACCCTCTCCTTACCATGGGCGACTTTTGTCGACAAGGAAGTGACCCCTGCTGGTTCCCATGGGCGACTTTTAATAGTTGACCAGGAAACCACACACAAAACACCCTCAACACAGACATATTCACTACTTTTCTGAAAGGCAGTATGTTGATGTGTTTGACCGCCCATAGATCAACCATATACGAGCTGAAAGAGTGTTTTCGGATCGTTCTAATGGTGTAGTTTATTTATAGTGTTACCATTACAACAATTTCAGAAAAGTGCTTCAGAAGTATCCACGCACAATTTGAGGTATGGAGTGCCATTTGGTCAAGTGGTGGAATGGCTTGCAGTTTGATACATGATGACCAGATCAACAAACAGGCATAACTTTCTTATATTTGCACATATGGACTTCATTTTTACATCACATAAAAGAGTAAGGTTCAAGGAACAAACTTTACACACAACACCAATGATTTTAATCACTCCTTGGCAGTGAAAATCTGGGTTGAAAAAAATGAGTTTTCGTCTTGTGGTCATTTTTTTCACGCTCTAGTCATTTTCCGCATGACTAAGCAAACAAGGTGCAGTTTGTTGCTGCAAAATCAGTTTTACTAAATGTATTATAACACAAGATTTGTGTTAGGACTTAACAAAGTATTAAAGTGGTGCACTGCTCGAATTTAGCAGTGATGTAGTCCGAGTGGTTGTGATGGATAACAACTCATCACAAGTCCATCATAAGCCAATCACAAGTCGGTCATAAGTCAATTCTTAATTATGTCATACCCATATTCATGACTAATGTTATGTGTTGTTTGTATGTGTCATTCTTTCGTATTCATGTATTTTGTATGATTGCAACTGGGGATCGCTACTCGACAAGCTTTGCTTTGTAGGGATCCCCAACCACACATTTTGTATACATTAGGCCAAAAAAAAAAAAAATATTCGGTCTCTGGTCAGACCAAAGTTCCGGAATTGATGCGGCGATGCAGGTTGTTTTTTTTTTTTTTGCCTTTTTTTTTTTTTTTTAAGCTTGGATTGTACAGACAAGGCGGGTACTATTTTGCTTTTGTTGTGTCCTCATATACATTTGGGACCTCCATAATTTGTCTTGGTGCCCTCCATCATTTGCCTTGGTGCAATTTCCCCATTCCTTGGTTCACAAATTTGAGGAGGTGCGGCAATAGAGGGCGCTGCTATAGCTATAGCTTCGATCGTCCTTTTTTTATGTGGAAATAAAGTCAAAGTTGATTGATTGATTAATTGATTGAATCACATCTTCTTCAGTCCCAAGTCAAGTCACAAGCTAATCAAATCAACTGTGACAAAGTTATTCCTTTGTTATTGGCCATCCCCTTGTTGGGGCCCCTCTCACTTTTCCAGGACTAGTTCCAGACAAGGTGCTGGTAGAATCATTCACTTTTCCGGAAGAAGCTCTGCAATCGTCCCGGACATATTTCGGGAAAAACTTTCATTAGCCGCTGCCTAACTCACGAATACTGATAACTACATTGGGGAAGATTGTGGCGGACATTTTTCAGAATCCTGCAACTTATACTTGGGACAATGTCCTGAGCTTGACTTGCCTGCTTTGTCTGTTCATTCTCAATTTAAAATCTTCTTAACATGTTGTATATGTTATAGAGGCCTTTTTGTACCTGACTATGGTGACTGACTAACTGACTCAATGATAATTTCACTTGTAAACTAGACTTGCTTATAAGTATCATCTTGGTCCACAAGTTTTTGAATAGGGCAACTAAGTGGACCTCGAAGTACCATCAGAGGTTCCTTCATGAAATCCATCTTTCAACTTATATTCAGTTTCGCAAAGTGTCAGAAACTCGGACGCCAGTGCAGTTGACGACAACCCGAACGCACTGCTCGTCACCTGGGACGTCCCTTATGAAGTCTACTGCCCGATCGACTACTACGAAGTCTCGTACAAGCTGCTGTACAAGTTTCAATGCGAAGACGGGAACATGGAACGCATTGGGGCCGCAAACACCACCGAGACGGCGTACACGATCACGGGACTGCTGCCCTACTCTACGTATGATGTGTATGTGAGGGCGCACAGCGAGGCCGGCTTTGGATATGATGGCAGAGCAGGGATACTCCAGACGGCTCAAAAAGGTATGGGCCATGTCAAAAATGACTTCCAATAACCCACGTGTTAGGAACTGGCTTCTGCCACTGCAAAAGGTGCGTATAATGGAAAGCCTTAGCCATATAATTTTGGACATGGGCTTCGTGCACAAGTACCCACCCAACAGTTGAAAAGGGAGAGCTTGGAGAGACCACTGGGAGAGACATTCAAACTTTATGCCGCGGTGTGTCTTGTTCATGGGCTTTGGAAAGTGGTAAAAAAGCAAGATGGTGCATGTCTAAACGGCTAAACACAATCCTTTCAGTCGACATTTCGGTGAACATAACCCCCTCTCATAGTGTCTAAATATATGGGCCTACAGGCCCTCTTTGCTTCAGTTACAGCAGCTGTGCTTACAATACAATTACAATAGTACAAATACAAATCCTATGGGAGTTGGCCTGGGTCTGATCTTTGCCTCGGAAATTCTCATAGTGTCTAAATATATGGGCCTACAGGCCCTCTTTGCTTCAGTTACAGCAGCTGTGCTTACAGTACAATTACAATAGTACAAATACAAATCCTATGTGAGTTGGCCTGGGTCTGATCTTTGCCTCGGAAATTCTGGGTCAAAAGTTCAACAAGGGTTTAAGGGGCACTCATATTGCTTTTTAGCTATGTCGCAGTAGGGAACTTGTGGAGTATGAATTTTTTTGACAAAAAAATTAGTAATTGAAAATTATTTTAAATGTACTGACATTGTCAGAGCTGTTGCACACCACATAGTAAATAATTTGAGTCGAGACTGAAAGATTATTTTTACTATCAGATTTTGTGTTTTCATTATGAGGAACAAATCAACTCTTTTTTGTGTGGAGAGATATTGATGTCGATCTTTGTATGTTTTCCTTTGCAAATTCTCCCCCCATTCATTGAGGTGGGAAAATGTTCATGTTTCATAGAACGGTAAGTGATCAATGGACAGCTGAATTTTGTAAAATCTTTTTATTAAAATAGACAAAATGTGGGAATAGGGCATGTGACATTTGTACAGTTGCCAGTCATTAACATGTACTTAAACTCTATATTTCTTTATGAAATGGAGCGACCCACCTATTTTTAAAAATATTTTTTTCTAATTCAGTAACTTTCTTTTTGACTCAATCTGTGCATTGTATATATTTTTTTTGCCTGGTGTATATGTTCCCCAGTGCCATAACACTGTATGGTTTTTCGGATTCAACGTATTAATGAGAATTCCAATACTTCCTTTCTAACAGTGCCCACAGACACCCCAATTGAAGTGACCGTGGCGTCGTACACCAACGACTGGCTTCATTTCTCCTTCCGGCGACGAGACTGCTCCGAGAGCTCCTGGTCCAGCCGTCTGATCGCCTACGTCTACCAGCTGGACAACCTGGACAACACCAGCCAGCCCCTGACAGGAAACAGCACGGCAAACTACTTGAGGTTTGAGGGCCTGATCCCGTACACGCGGTACTCGTTCCGCGTGAAGATGCGCACGGAGGCCGGTGATGGTCCCTACAGCGACCCTGTCGAGGGGAGGACAAATGAAGACGGTATGTTCTTCATTCTTGGTATTTGAGACAGAACTTAAGATCGGATAATGATGTGGTGCCTCGGTAGAACTTTGTGCAGATGTAGCAAACTTTGGCTTCAGAAATAATCCTCTGTTTAACAGAGTCGAAACTTTTCCGATTTTAATTGGAAATCCGACTTTTTGAACTTTCCAACGAAATTTCCGATTTTCTTACAATGTGTCCCACAGAATATAATTTTGTTACGATTTTTTCACAAAATGTCATTTTATTTCAATCATAATTTGGAAGAAAAGTAGATGGAAATGGCACGTTAAAATCATCGGGAACGTAGTTTTAATCTCTTCCACCAGTCGTTATTGGAGTGTTTCAACGGTAGAAACACAGGCCATAACACTGATCGGAGCCTTTTCCGGCTGGACAAAAGGTTAGACATTGACAGGTGACATGGAAAACACTGTGTCGCATGTACGTGCATATGTACAAAGATGTACAAAATGTGTGCAATGTACCAGCGTATGTACCGCACCGTCCGCTAGCACGTGGCCGGTCGGGAACGGGTAGCCTCGTGAACGATCCAGTGGATAAAATCATTATGTTGTGCGATTTTCGGAGGTTTTAGATTTAGTTGTACAAAATGCAATGCTTTAAAAATCATGATGATTATCTCGCGGATAGCGAAGAGAGCATTAGCGAAAAATTTCACTGGCATTTGTTGGAAGAGAAAGACGATAATGCCTGATTTTTCCCCACATATGAATGCAAGTGGAGTAGTGGAGTTGTGTGGTAAATTTGTCTTGTCAAACTGAAAACTTGCTGAATTATTTATTATCTGTTTCCAGAGCCCGGACCACCGGCTAGTTTGACCATTCTGAACAAAACAGAGTCAACCGTGGACATTGCGTGGGACGCGCCAACTGCGCCCAATGGGATCATCCTGAACTACACGGTAAAAATTGTGCAGATGTAGCAAACTTTGGCTTCAGAAATAATCCTCTGTTTAACAGAGTCGAAACTTTTCCGATTTTAACGTTCCCGATGATTTTAACGTGCCATTTTTACCACACGGTTGTGTGGTAGCGGGACTGCACAAAAGCAGCAGCTGTGGAACTACCCACTAGCCGTGTGCCACGGCATACCACAGCTGGCAACTGCATTCCAATGAGGATTAGCGGCCGCGGCCATGACCGCTTCCCGAGCGCATGGGGTTAACAAAATCAGACTCTGAAAGGTAACTATTACTTCTATGTTTAAATGACAGAGTCCAATATCAGTATCCATGCTTCTTTTCTTTTTGCTGTCTGTTATTCTAGGTTCAGTATAAAGCCATTGAGAAGCCCTATGACCCCTACTTTGCACCCTCATCAATTTATTTTGTGGAGGCGGCGTTGGTCGGACCGGCAGTCTTCACCTACAAACTGGAGTCTCTAGAGCCTGGAACAAAGTACAGCATTCGCGTGGCCGCGCTGACAGCGCCTGGAGCAGGGGAGTACATTTATCGCGAGGCTTTCACTGAGCTCAAAACAGGTACATCATCAGTTTTAACCCAGCTGTGAGCCTGATTATGCATTGGACAGAATTGTGGAAATGAGCGGACGTTCTAAATCTGTTTTGTACTCCAAGTTGTCTGTGGATTTTATCAAGCATCCTGAAATTGTGTAAGCTCAAGTTTTAATACTAGCAGTCAGTTCGTCTGTCAGTCTGCCAGTCATTGACTCAGTCAGTGACTTGGTCAGTCAGAAACTCGGTCAGTGACTCAGTCAGTGACTCAGTAAGAGGACAAAAGGCTTTGGGCCCAGCAAAACAAGATAGAAGTGACACTTTTCCGTTGAAGTTTGTTGTGTGATTGGTTGTCACAGATATCCAAGAGCCAGAGAAGCCGGCCTTTGACCCGTCCAGATCCTCAGGGACTAGTGTATTCATCTACATCTACAGCTCAGACCCTACCTATGTCACGTAAGTGCATTGCAGAGGCTATCAGTAATCATATTTCATCATCAGATGAGCGCCGTAATCATTGTACTGTACACAAGCTTTATTTGGATGTCTTGGCTTACTGTAAAGTGGTTGGCCCTCCTCTGTCTTGAGACAATGCACATTGCATGTAGTTGGAGATACATCATCTGCTGCAGCTGAAAAGGCCAATCCTTATGCAGGAGGTAGGTCCTTTATTACTGCAGCGTCAGTACTGTTGTTTGCAGTACGTATTACCTAATTTGTTCATTACTTTGAATTTATTGGTCAACAAATTTCATATTTCACAAGTTCTTCATACAAACATGTCGCCAATCAAACGCCACGAGAGCCCCTTTAACCAGTGTTGCACGAGAGCCCCTTCAACCAGTGTTGAACTTTTGACAGCAAAATAATTGAGGGAATTTTGATCCCTTTTATAATGTGTTCTACAATGAATGCCGCTATGACGAACACCGCTGTCACTAACACTTGGCTATAACGAAAGTCCCAATAGGCTCCCAAAATAGTAAAATGCACAATCACTATAACAACCAACCACTATAACAAACACTTTGTTCCGTGTTCATTATTGCAGCGTTTAACTGTACAAACTGTAGTACGGTCCTGTAACCATGCATGGAAAATGTACAGGCGAGGGTTCAAGTCACTGAAATTTGAGTGAAATGATTGAAATTTGTCTTTTAGCTCTTATCTCATTGCGGTGAAGAAGACGTCTGCAAGACAGAAGAGAACCAGCGTGGTGATCGACGGAGAATCGTACGGCACGTACAACGAAAACCCGGACGCCTACATTGCCGCAGAGGTTCCCAAGGAGGGCGTTAATTCAGTCGGGTTTGTGGTGGGAGACGGCAAGATGTATGGGGGCTACCTCAACGCGCCCCTGGGGGAGGGGACGTATAGCGTCAGGGTCGGCGCTGCGAGTAAAGCAGAGGATGTGAGTCCAGGGGTGGTTTTATCTATTTTGGTCGCAGAGATATTGAGGAGCTTTCGAAGTCGTCGCGTCAGTGCACCAAGGTCGTAACTCCATTCTGCAGCACAGTCGTGTCTCGCGCGAATACGCTCATTGACTTTGTGTGTACATCCCGGTTATTTTGAGATACGTCTTTTTGACATTCTGAGACTCGCGTTTCATGTACTGCCCTTTTTAGGAGATGCAACCGTGTTGCACGGACACGACGATGTATAAATCAAGTACAACTATCTTCACTCTTGTAGTTCAGAATTAATTGCCTTTTATAGACAGAAAAAGACAAATATGCTGTTGTTCTCATGCTGATATTTTATTAGCTCTCTGCAGAGTTAAAGTTTGGGCACACATGACTTTGCATGCATTTACGGGTAGTACAGGAACCAAGCACCCGTAAAATATGGGTACCTGGGTACTTGTAAAAGAAACCCAGCCCCAAAATTCAAATCCTGGAAGTTGTCTGAAGGGCTTAAGAGCTTTACGGTGTAAACTGCAACATTCGCGATCGTCAACTGTGTCGCGCTAAAATGCACATAAATTTGAAATCTGTTATAGTTTTCCATGTAGCCTGGTTTTCATTTTTGAAATTCCCCACAAATGGCATTCAAAACCTTTCTGTTTTATTGTCTGAGAAGTTACTAAGTAATTTGTAAAGTTTGTTTACAGGTACCCGATCCGCTAATCTAGAACGGCATCGTGACATCAACAGTCGGGTACTCAGGTACCCCCTACACATGACAGGATTGTATGTTCCTGATTAACAAACAAAACTAATACCAAGTAATTTCCTATGTTTTGCTTGAAGGCATCAAGTGTGAGTTGGAGTGAACCACTGGTTCGAAATGGTAAGTGGCAATTGAGATAGTATCAAACCTGGTTATTCTTATTTAATGAGAACTGCGACCAAGACCTTCCTTTATTATTTTTCACCTCCGTTACATTTGACTGGACTTGTGACCGGACTTACGATGGACTCGACTTCACAGAACGACCAACTCTCCCTAATTGTTTGTAATTTTATCAACTGTGTAGCAACTGGCGTCCCGACCACATCACCCTCCCCAACCCAAAAGCCTGACCCACGGCCACCAACTAACCCAGGGCCACCAAAAGATGGCAGCGACTCCGTTGGGATTATCGCCGGGGTGATTATCGCCGTCTTGGTGGTTCTGATCATCATTGGCCTTGTGGTGTATTACATGAGACTGCGCAGAAAACGGTGAGTGAAACCTTATCGCAGATAAGTGCCAGCTACCCCCCCCCCCAAAAAAATCCTGAAAATTACAAAACCTGAAATCGTACACCTGGCTTTTGCAGGAAATGACTTTATGGTACAGTAGTAAAACGTCCACATGCAAATACTTCGAAACAATTTTGAATCTAAACATTTCGTCGTGTCCGTGCATGAAGGTTCGTATCCCAAAATAACCAGGATGTACACACAACGTCAATGGACATCGAGTTCCGACCTTGTTGCACTGACGCGACGATTTACTGTTTTTGGAATACATGCCCAAAGAAAAATAAATTTGAAAAATGCAAAGCAACTCTAATAGATTCCTTTGTAGATACCTTTGTTTTCTGGCACCAAAAAAAAAATTAAAAAATAATAATTAACACAAACTAAGTGTGATTTGCTGGGGGTTTTTTTTCATCAGTTTTGTTGATCCAATGTTTTTTTTCCCTGTAGAGAGGTTGAGGACGGCACTGCCGGTACTCCCATGGAAGAAACAAGCAAGAAAGACAGCGTCAAGGTTTAGTAGGCAAGAGACTCGGAAATTCTTGATCAGTACTTGCTCTGATTTCATCGAGCTGAAAACACTGCTGAGATAACATCAGCGGGGAACCAGTCACAAGCAATATAAATATCAAGCAGGTTTGGCTGGTAACCTCGTTTTCTTTCTAAGCAATTTTGTTTTAGTGCTTAGGTCATCCCTTGTTATTTCTATGGTTCTTATATTTTGTGTAACTAGTGTGAGTAAGTCCAAAAACAAAATCTGAAGAAAGACAAACTTGCAGTTGCAGTATAGATGGCAGCAGCGTAGCTATGGGGGGGGGGATGAAAAATCGTCGGTTGGTTTTAAAGAATAATAACAAAAGGTTTGTTTTATCTTTTCTCAAATCTGGAGCCAAAAATAGGATCAGTGGGAAATAAGAACCAATGAAATAAAAAAATTTAAAAAATGCCCACGACTGTGCTCATGGCTTCCTGAAATTAGCCACTGAATGTTGACAGATTCAGGTGGGTTCCTACATTCCTACCATAGCAAAACTGTTCAGAGAGACAGGGTAAATGACCTAAATCTTAAGCTGTTAAAATATTTTTTTACCAATTAATGTTCAGTGTTACTAATATGCAGTTAATAACAGGGAGGTGTATAGCAGAAAACAGTACTTTTTATTTGTATGTTTTTTATTTGTGTTGTTTTACTAGGTCGTTAATATTTGATTAATTTGGTGCATGGGTTGATGTATATGTCTTGATAAGTTTGGGATTTTATTGTTAAAATTTGCGAAGTGTTGGTGTTGAGCCTGGTTTTGGGATGTATGTGACGTGGTTTGTCAAGGCACTTTAGGGCAAGAAGTACGCGGTACTTTCCTCGCCTTCCACCGCTTTGACCCGGGTTCGAATCCCACCTGGGCCAATATGTGGATTGGGTTTTCAGTCCGTACCTGATTCCATGGGTTTTTTTCCCCAGAATGTACTTCTGGGCTTTTCCTCCCACCTCCAGAACTGTAATTTCTTCTCATTGTCTTCTCTCTACAGGTTTCGTCAGGCTTGCAAGGTAAAGTGCCTAGGGCACGTTTTAGGGGTTACACCTCTATGTTCCGACACCCCTATGTTCCGACACCCCTATGTTCCGACACCCCTATGTTCCGACACCCCTATGTTCCGACACCCCTATGTTCCGACACCCCTATGTTCCGACACCCCTATGTTCCGACACCCCTATGTTCCGACACCCCTATGTTCCGACACCCCGATGTTCCGACACCCCGATGTTCCGACACCCCGATGTTCCGACACCCCGATGTTCCGACACCCCTTTGTTCCGACACCCCTATGTTCCGACACCTCTATGTTCCGACACCCCTATGTTCCGACACCCCTATGTTCCGACACCCCTATGTTCCGACACCCCTATGTTCCGACACCCCTATGTTCCGACACCCCTATGTTCCGACACCCCTATGTTCCGACACCCCTATGTTCCGACACCCCGATGTTCCGACACCCCGATGTTCCGACACCCCGATGTTCCGACACCCCGATGTTCCGACACCCCTTTGTTCCGACACCCCTATGTTCCGACACCTCTATGTTCCGACACCCCTATGTTCCGACACCCCTATGTTCCGACGCCCCTATGTTCCGACGCCCCTATGTTCCGACGCCCCTATGTTCCGACGCCCCTATGTTCCGACGCCCCTATGTTCCGACGCCCCTATGTTCCGACGCCCCTATGTTCCGACGCCCCTATGTTCCGACGCCCCTATGTTCCGACGCCCCTATGTTCCGACGCCCCTATGTTCCGACGCCCCTATGTTCCGACGCCCCTATGTTCCGACACCCCTATGTTCCGACACCCCTATGTTCCGACTGCACATATTCCTATTCCTAATATTAGTAACATATAGACATTGCTCTTTCAAATGACGCCTTTTTTATTGGATATTACAAAGCGAAGTTATTAGATTCTGAAGTCGGACTGTCGGAATTATCAAAAATGAGAATAAGACTTTAAAAGTTTGAATTTAGTGGAAAAAAATATATTCTGAAATAGTTGCCATTGTTGTAAAACAACAGCGTTACTAATTTTGTAAGCATTAGTAGCATATTCAATTTCAAAAATCTCCAAATCGCTGAAAATCACTCCCATGCCATTTTGCAGCTGTTTCTCTATCGGTAGCTTTGCCCAATTGAGCCAGATTTTGACATACCACGTCACATTTTGTGTTTGAAATTTATTTTTAAATTACTTTTTATATAGAATTTCTTAACTTTCAATAGCCTTTCAGTTTGGACAATGTTTATACCACCAGAGTTTTAGCGAGTAAAAACCACTTATTAATAATTACAATGGTGCTTTGTTTATCAGTTAAAGTGTAGGAAATCACGTAACAATAATTAAGAATAAATTGATTACAGAGTGTGTGACGTATGGAGGAAAGTAACTTTGCACTTGCCTTAGAGGACAAACTGAAACTATGTGCTATTTTCATGAAATATTCAGAAATTTTCTTTTTTCCAGATTTTTTTAAATCCATTTCTCACATGTACATAATGTATAAGTTGTTTTCCTTTTACGAAGTACTTGTATTGCCAGCTAATGGACCGATCCAGTAAGCACCGCCCCATGGTATTCTGACCAATCACAGCCGTGATTTATGTCCGACATGCGTGCACAAAAGTCCGACATGCGTGCGCGCGCGTATGATGCGCGCGGCAGGAAAATGCAGCGTGGCATTGGAGAGGAGCACGTGTTAATTTGCCCACGTGCGCACTGGGCGGGGCTGACTGGATCGGTCCATTCCAGACTGCTTCCGTATTTGTCCTGTCCAGCTTGCTGTGTCAAACATTTTAATTTGCTTCTCATCTACATTTGGACTCGGCAGTAGAACATTGCAGCCGGCAACACAGGTAGATTAATTTCAAACTCTTCCAATCAGCAACTAGTTTGCATTTTGGAAAGTAAAACCGTACTTGGAATTTTAGTAGTTTACGTACGTTTGTATTTTGTCTTTCGATATTGGAAAAAAAGTGCAAAATACATTCAACCAAAAAAGAAAGTCCCCCTTCCAATACTTTTTTGTGTAACTCAAAAACTACTGGGCACCTCTCGCTCAAATAACGACTAATCAGTACAGAAATTATTTAGCAATCCAGCCATACTCTTTATTTGGCACAAAACAGTGATAATGTGTACGAAATTATTATGCAATTTATGACAAATGATCCCGAAAACAGTTGCACTTTTGTATGCGTGCAAGTTGTGCTTCACCTCACCTTGTACGTATACAAAAGTACAACTTTTCTTTCGGTACTATTTGTCATAAATTGCATAATACGTAATATCTCTGTTTTGGGCCAAATTAAAGAGAATGGCTGGATTGCTAGGGAATTTCTGTACTGATAAGTCGTAATTTGAGCAGTGTACGTGAGCAGTAGTTTTTGAGTTCGACAAAAAAGGGTTTTTTTTGGGGGGGGGGCTTTCTTTTTTGGTTGAGTGTTTATGCTCTTTATGGATGCATTATTTGTATATTTCAAACTTTTCCACACAGTAAACTATTTTGCATGCTGGAAAGTGAAACCGCACATGGAATGTTAGTTTTTGACGTATTGTGTCTTTCAATATAGGAAGATATTTGGAAAATATCTACTCTTTATCTGTGCATTATTTGTATTTTGATATCTGTAACAAAACATATCATAATACTGCCAGCTATTTTTATATTTTAAAAAATTTGAAACACGTCCGCAGTATTTTCTCCAAAAGTTTCGAAACCTTATTGGCCGAACGGGCTGAATTAAAACTGATATTACATTGTTATCAGGTTTGTGACTACTTGAACTCTTACCAGGGGCTCCAGCAAGATAGTCCCTGATGTATCTTGCAGTAAAGCATATTTTGTTTATTAATATCTATTATTTTTTACACATAATCATACTTTTAACTGCCTCATCTATGTTAATACCGGATGTATTTTTTATATATATTGGAGAAGTTAACATTGTGCACAAAATGTTTTTTTTTTTAAGTATTGAATACAGCGTTGTTATTCAACATCACTTGGTGGTCTACTTCAAACCGTGCTTCTCACATGTTTGTTTTCAATTACTTGACTGTTTCATTTACAGACATGGTGGGTTGGGGTTTCAGATACAGTCGATCCCTGATAAGAAGAGCACTGTTAATACGAGGCCCTGCTTATAACAAGCACAATTTTAGGTCCCAAGTCTTTGTTTTCCTTTGTTTTCCATTACTGTTAATACAAGGTACCTGTTATAACAAGGTAATTTATAAAGTCCTAAGGACCTTGTTATAAAGGTGTTCGACTGTATTTTGCCCGAAAGTATGAAGCGTTTAAGACACTATTGGTTTATGGTGATGTGGGGAAGCCTTTGCAATATTTTGCAGCCTTGGTGCAGCTAATTTCCTCTTTTTATCTTCCCGTGTGTGACATTAAAAATAGAGAAACACCGTTCATAGTCTTGGAAAGAATTGAATTTCCTTTTCTTTTCTTTTTTTGGTGACTTCCCATTTGTATGCATGTTATTAGTGGGAAAACGAGTTCCCGTCAATTCTGTCGTAAAATCAGGGTTGTGAAATCTCAGCTTTAAAGCTGATTTCAGTGGGTTTTTTTGTGGTTTTTTTTGGATTTCAGCTCTTTTCCCTCACTTGTGTACAAAAGTATAGGAGATTTCCAAAATTAAGATTTTTTTACACCTTTTTCAGCTGTTCTCAGCTATTTTTATCAGTCACTCACACCCCTGAAAATTGTCCTGAAAATAATTAGATGAGAGTTTTAGGTTAAGTATTGATGCCAAGCCTAAAACTAAACTTTAAAAAGCACGTACAACAAAAAACTTTGAGTGCGCGTTATACGCGTACCTACTTCGTCGCGCGTCATTGTTAAAGTTTTGTGACGTCATCATATTTACATGTTACGCACTTCTTGCGCGTTACTTGCGGTGTTTATAACAACCAGTTTTCATTCAGTCTTGCAGACTTCTTTGTGAGAGTAATTTACAGCGATTCAGTGCGACTTCTTGCGATAATTTTGCGACAAATTTGACCATCCAGCTTGAGAAAAATGACTTCCCTTAGTCAATCAAAGCTGACAGCCGAGTTCAGGAGGGAATTGTCAGCTTTTCCCGATGACCGAACCGTCGGTTCCCCCGAAGCGAGCGGCCGAAACCATCGCGGCCGTCTCGGCCCCGTGACCAAGCTCAGCTGGCTCTGCTGCTTCCTGCGTCCGCGGGCCATCGTGGATGCAGATACCGGACAGCAGGGCGTGAGCTCCTCGCGCACCGCTAGCCGTCGTCCCGCGGCTAGGAAACTGCGTCGAGTGCGTCCAATGATACCGTCCCCATTGGATACCGTGTACTCCCTGCCGATAGGGTGAGTATACTTTCGATACTTACTATGGTGAATTATATTCGTGGATTCTTCTACACGTAAGAGAGTCGCTCATGAAGAGTATGTTAAAAATTTAAATTAGATACAAATTCAAATTTTCAGTGGTCCTACATGTTCCGATGCGGTTTGAAAAAAAAATATCAAGTTGGTCGTCACTCGTCTGTGACAAAATAAACCACCTTAACTCATTATACAGGGATACCTTTAAATCCATTTTACGATCGCAGTCCAACTCAAAATAAATATCCAATAGGTTCACCACACTGAGAACTTAATTATTTGACAGTTATCCATCTCAAGATCAAAGAAAAGTAACCAGAAGCACTTGATAGGTCTTTAAATCTGAAGATCGCGGCACAACTGAAAAATACTTCACAGGTCTACCTGTACAGGCATCTTATAAATTCGCAAACAACGCCACAAAAATATTCAACTTTTCTACATCAAAGTTAAAGCTCAGATTGCAGAACTCAACAGAAAGAGTCATGAGGTCCACCTCAAGTTCTGTCTTAGATCGAAAAACAACTAAAAAAGTATTTATTGTGAGTTGTCCACTAACTCTGCAAACCTACCCTATTTACCTCCATCGTATCGACCCTAACAAACTATCAACTGTTATCTTATTCTTAGGAGTGATGACGAGGAGGGATCAAAGAGAGAACTATCCACAACTCCTCGGGTCCCACGCCATGACCACTCTCCACCTCAAGGAGGCAACCACGTGGGAAGGTCACCACAAGTGAGTGACTGGTTCACGACCTGCAAACAGTTGCAGAAATGGTAAGTTGCTCAATTCAAAATCGGAGGAGGTGGGGTGTTTCTATAAGATTACATGTACTATATAGTTTTCAGATTAGCTAGCATTGCATGGCATTTAATGTTGTGTAGACGATTTGATCGGGGCTGTTAATGGAAAAAGTTATCTGGCTGTTGAAATCACCAGGGAGGTGTGGTCAATAGAAAATCTTTGAAGACTTTTACATAACTTTTTACACCTCTTCCACTGTCCACAGTGCAAAGCTATCGAGCAGAGCAACAGATGTGTCAGCATCAGGCCACAGTGTCACAGTCGAGGATTTGGAAGAGAGCATCCCACTCGACAAGGCCGGCAAAGAAGCGGCTTCTAGACGCGGTAGAGAGACGAAAGATGCCTGCGGAGATCTTGAGTATAACGGACGGAGACCAGCCAAGGATGATACAGAATCAGCACGGAGAGAAATCAACCATCTCTCCTCGAGAAGCGGACAGGGAGATGGGGCAAAGGATTTTGATCTGCCGAGCAAGGTGGGGGTGAAAACGCATGGTCCAAATGCGATGTGCAAGGACAGAAGAAAAAAACCTTATTGGTGCTTCCCAAGAAAAGGAGGTGCAGAGAATGTCGTCGGGGCATCCCGTTTTAGGGATGAAAGCAGAGGAGAGATTACAAGAGAAAAAGCAGATAGCAACAATATCATCCGGTAAGAAGTAGAACTGCTTTCTTCTGTCGCAAAATCATGGCGATATAACCTTTCAGTTGAGTACAATGTAATACTGATGATTTACAAGAGATGCAAAATGCTAATTCAAAAAAAATAGTTAATTTGTTCAACTTTGCTTTCATTTGCAGGGTACCTGTCGAGAGCTGCCGTGAAACTGACAAGATACACTCATCAGCTCCAGGGGAAGGGCCTCGGATCCAAGTTCAGCCTGCCGAGATTGATGTCCACTCGGAAAGGACTTTCCAGGAATTGCGATCATCAGAAACTCTACGGGAAGGCTCCCTTGTTATCCAAGTTCAACCTGCCAAACAGTTTAATGTAAACTCAGCAGGGACCCTTCAGAGATGTGGATCTTCGGCCGCTTCAGAGAAAGCGCCCCGCCTGATCCAAGTCCAACCTGTTAACCAGGTTAATCGGAACTCAACAACGGCCTTCCAGGGATTGAGATCTTCAAACCCAGGGAGGAGTTATCTTAGGACCGCCGCAACCGCTCAGAAAACAGAGAGGTGCGCCCACGAGGCTCATGAGAGGCAGGTTGAGGGGACGCTCGTGGTGGCATCCAGCCTCGGAGAGGAGGAATCTCAGAGGGGCGTTCCACAACCGGAGGCAACCCTCGAGAAACATATACATCAGAGTCTTGGCATCCTGGGCACACAAGTCCTGGAGAGGGGAGAAAACTCACCCAAACCTCAGATGAGCTTTCCTGAAAGACAAGAGGAGCCAGCCCTTCAAGAGGGTCACTGGGGAAAAGAAATCAACTCCAGAATGAAACATGAAGTTTCTGAAACAGAGTTGGAAGAAGAATCTCGAAAGAGGCAGCTGAACGCTGCCTTTGTCACGAAGATCAAGGATAAATCCAGTAGAATGGATAGGTCAGTCTAACATTCAGTGTAGTGGACAATTTGTCTTTATTCCATGGAGACCGACAGGCTTTCTTTTATGTGGAACACTGTCCCCATAAACCTGTTACTTTACATGTCTCGCCTTAAAAAAAGATTCTGAATGATAGCTTTTTTTTCAACGCAACGAAATTCTAAGACCGTTCCTTACAAAGGTATGATACAGGCATTATTTCACAAATTCCTCGTTGTACCTCATCCAGCTTAGCGAGAGACATCTCGTCAACCACATGCATTGTATTACCCTTGAAAAGTAATACTTCTACATCCACTTACAAAAGTATCAAAGACTTATGTATCAAGTCTATAATTTGACTTTGGGCCTATCTTGGAAGCAGCCATGCGGCGGTACACCACAGCACCGATGACCAAGAACTCGACAAGGGGACAGTGAGACACCACCAGCCTGTCCCAGACCAGCCACCCTGCCAGCATCGGACCATAGCCAGCGAGTCGATGTCGCTGCCTCCGGCCGTGAAAGAGGCTCTCTCCCTCGGCCAGGAGAGGGGGAGACAGTTGCTGGAAGAGACCCGGCAGTGTAATCAGATGATGATGAATTGTCTGGTAAGACATCGAGAACTCCGGGGTATCCATGGACGTGGAGATCATTCCAGGTCAGATTCTAATTAACTAGTCTGCATAATTAAATAAAATTTTGCAGTATACTTTAGGAAAACGCCTGTTAAACTTTGACACATCCTGTTGTATACTTGTTTGTAATACAAATTAAATAAGAGCCCACAATTTGCATACTTGTCCCCCCCCCCCCCCCAGACCGCAACCATGGTCTGAGGGAGCTGTCGTAAACACACAACAGCCGTCGGATATCGTTGCCTGCGCTGAGAGGGTGGCGGAGGCAAATGACAGATTCTGCGAGAACATCCAGAATGAGATGATAGCTGGGCACAATGCCTGGATGGAGCTCAAGCGAAGAAAGGGGTAAGCAGGAACCCCTTTTGGCACACACGCCGGAGGGCGGTGTAACAGTGATGTTACAGGTCATTATTAAGGTCACTGACGATTATGTAACCCTATTAAAAATTCGCTAGTATTAAAATGTACAGGTGTTTCTGATATAAAATTCTACTTTGAGATTGAATTTAGGGCCTAAAACAAACTAAGAAGAGGAAGTTAAATCTTACTAAAACTGCGATATATTAGGCCTGCACGAAACAACTATTTGACCAGTGGAACTTTTCCTTTTTAATTTAGAATGTTCTTTGCTGCAAAACACAAACAAGACCAAAAAGAAGGAAGTCGAAGAAATGCATTTGAAGAAAAAGTGCCTCACAAAAGGCAAAAGGGAGATGTCATGATGCCTAGTCAACCAAGTGACATCACTGCAGCGCCACAACCAGAACTCGATGGTGTAGTCTGGTACCGGGGAAGGCTCGTCAAGCTATGCTGGCCCCACCCAAGCGAGAATATCTCAGATGCAAAAAGATCTACGAAGACGCGCAGCAAGACGAAAAAGAAGGAGTAAGTTGCCCATCTCTTAATCTATTCTTGTTGACCGACCCTTAATTCCTCATGTGACAAGCCAGACTTGGTCATTTTGGATCCTTAAATTTGTTTCTGTCGACATCCCAGGCCACAAACGGCTTGATTCTTTCTAGCTCAAAGACCGAAAACCGGCCAGGGATGGCCAGTTCTCAGGGTCACTTCTCTCTACAAATTTGGCAGGATCATCACTTGGCCTTATGTTTACGTTTATGCATCCCATGCATGTGGTAATCTTGGCATCCATCCACGCTAGCTTTTAGCATTAAGGGTCATTGAGAAATTGAAAGAACAAAAATCGGGAGCTATATAGTAGATATTCAGTGACACTTACAATGTCTTGGGATAATTTTACGAACGGAGAAGTTGACCGTTTTGAACTATCTCTTGACTTGTGATATAAAAACAGCCTTTCCTAGGCATGAGTTACTTATTCAGTCATCTTCTTGTTTCCACCATAAACCAAATCAGAACACATTCTTAAGAACCGTGTTGTACTTTACTGTTTCCTTCTAGGGATTCTGGCGAGCCAGTTGCTCTCGGGTATGTCAAGCCGTTTTCTCCACCCAATCAATCAGATGACGACCTTGACTACATGTACCGGGCGCAGATACAGCCAACCATCATCAACTCCATGCTCTGCCGAAAAACTCCGCCACTGAACTCCAACTCGAGGGGAAATCTGCACATTCCAAGTGGCAGCATTTTCAGCCAAGAATCCCTGCACTTTGACCCTGACTTGACCCCCTCTAATCCCCTGGTCTGGGCCTACGAGACACTGAGAGATCCGCGGAAGAGACGCAAACCCCGCCTGAAGAATTTTCAGAGGGTGGTGGACGCAAGGAGGCACAGGACGAAAGTACGGAAGATAAAGTAAAAGAGGCTGGGATCAGACGAGATTATCTACGTCACTGAAGAAGAAGAGAGTTAAAGGGCTCATGCATCATTTCTTTAATGCGATTCTTGAAATTACACCTTTGTTTCGCAATTAATTTCATTTTCAGTTTTCATTTTGTCATTGTCAAGGGTATTTTGATGCTTTTTTGAATTGTATGTTAATACGATTTGTCATATTGATGAGCAAAAGTGTGATATCACTGACTGGGCAGAAACCTCAATGTACAGCTATTTCAGCACCAAACGTTGCTAGAAGTTTGAATATTTTGCTGTCAGAATTTCTTTTTGGGATCGGGAGGTAGGTTGATTTGTTGTTGTTTCACTATGTGACGGTAATTCAATGAGCAAACTTTTCTCACAAGTTTTTTTTCAACAAGCAAACTTTTTGGTTCACATTTTGAACAGAAAACCTCTTAAACGAAGAGTGTGTTCCGCAAATGAAATCACAGCAACAACGCCCTCAGTTGTCAGGAAAAGCAGGAGCATTTTAAATCTTTACAGATGTGCATTTTTCCACAGACACAAATAACCAAAAAGGCGTGTCAAATAATGTTCATACATTTTTTTTTTAAATTAGAAAGTTGCACAAAATATCCTCCCCATTAAAATTCATGTCATCGTCCCATGGTCGAATGAGCTAGGCTGAATTTGGTAGTGGTGCATTTTAGACTTTTAAACTTTTTTGTGTATTGTGGTATTCCGTTTGAGGGTCAAATCACGTACATATATAACCCTATTGTTACCGTGGTTGAGGGATTTTCCCAACTAGCCCAACTCGAAGTGAACTTGAAAGAGTCGCACTGTTTCACTTTCCGTGGGGTAAAACCATAAAGAAAGAAACCGGGGAGCTTTTGTGTTACTGAGGCGCATTAAAGTTGGCCCCCAAATGAGCTGTTGGCAAGATAATTTACGGTTGACCGTTGGGCAAACTCGACCGTTGGGCAAACTTGACGACCGTTTTCTTTGCCAACTCAACCGTTTGCCTACACGTTCATGAAGTGCGGCTGGCGCGGTTTTTTCTCTGGGACGATTTACTTACGTACAGGCCTAGTATTATGCGAGGTCATTCTTTTAAAAAAATTAATAGATCTTTAGTGTAGCAAAAAAATCCTTTACCCCATTCATTGATCGTGTCCACAATGCAAACCATCTCACTGCCTAACCCGAACAGTCTCCTTTCAAACGTCCATTCAGAAAACGAGAATAATTTATTGTTGTGAAAAGGCATATAGCCATGAATCAAACGTGTTTCTTAACCGTCGTTTTTACCATTAAACACCCCCATTCCCCGGAAAAAAACACGCCTTTAAAACGGATGAGTTGGACAACGGACGACTTGACTTTTTTAAGTTGAGTTGGCAAACGGTCGAGTTGATTCCAGTCGAGTTGGCAAACGTGTCGAGTTGACTGGCTGGATACCCGTTTAGTTGTCGCAATATATGGGCTTCAAGGTGACCGTTTTAGCCGATTTTCGGCTAACTTTGGCAGATTTTTGTTGTTGTAAAAAACGAGTTTGACAGAAAACTTGACAAAATGGATTGTTTGGCAGATTTCTGGTAGAATTCTGCAAAAATGGTTATTTGACAGATAAACGTAGCAAATTTGAAGGGAAAAAATGGTACATTTAAAAAGCTTCAATCTTTTCAAACAAACCCTTGCATAATGGGACATGGTCTAGGTGCCGGACTGGCAACCAGACTTCGTCGTGACGCAACCGTATTTTTTGTCTAAAATTTACGAAATTTCATAACATATTTTTGTGACTATAGATTGTTTATTTAATTTGAACCTTAATTAAGGCAATACTACAACTTCTGCCTGTGATTCTTAGTGTTTATAGTGTATTTCGAGTAATTCTTGTGAATTCGGCAGATTTTTGATCAATCTGACAGATTTTTGAAGTCCATTTTGGCCATGACCACCTTTCCACCTTGGACGGGGTTCAATTTCATTCTGCTTGAATAGCAGGGCGAGCAGTCGAAGAGACTTACCAACTTTTACTTATGGAAATTAATCGATTTGAAGAACACAGAAACGTATTTTTAACATTTAACAGTAATGAGTTACATGCAGCTATGGATAACATTTCCAGGAGTTTGGTTTATTTTAACGTTATGATAATTATTTTATTTCAATAATTTGAAGTTTTAAATACTGTTGTGATACACAACTATAAGTCCGGACCTGATTTTGGTGCGGGGGAGTTTCCCTGCATGGATTGATGTATCATGAACTCAAATGTTCGCAGCAGCCTCCTTGTACATCTCTAGCAAATAAACTGGATTTTAGGCATATCTGCAGACACAGATTTACAACAAAAATATACATTTTTAGTTTAATTAAAAGTAACTTAATTAAAAGAAATAGGGTCTACTAAACTTTTGTTCAAAAAAAAACACCCAGCCCTCACATCTGATTTCTTTTCCAATTTAAAAAAATCAAAATATGTGCTGAAATTTCAAATTATGAATCGATACCGAGATCCAAGGTGATATTTTGTAGATGATATAAAATTAGAACGCTCCAAGATGACCTTACTCTATAAGAGCCGCGGTTTGAATAAGAATTTCAAATTTTGTCTGTTGACAGGAAAAGCGTAAACAATTTATTTAAAAAAACACATAGGTGACAGGTTGATAAGCAAGGCCGTATAAAGGTTCTTGAAAAGGACTTTTTTTAACAAATTTCATCAAATTTGATCAAGAAACTTAAAAAAAAAAATTCATTTCATGATTTAATTTTCATTCAACAACTCAAACACTTTATTTCATTCTCTGTGTACATTCTATATACAAGCATTTTCCAATTTTCCTATTTATCTTTTTTAGAATATAATCAAACTAAAACACATGTTTCTGACACAAACATAAACAAGTATTTGTATACAGGGCATGTCAAACAGAAAGTGGCCTAGATTAAATACATTTTTTACCACTAAATATTAAAAATGCATTTAAATTTGAAACACCAATGAAGTACGTTTTAAACGAACATTTTCTTCCACTCATGTGGACAAGAATTACTGACATTGATCCATACTCAGACGTTATGCATGTTTTACTAAAAGAACCCATTTTTACAGCTGTCCATGGAATGCTTAATGCTTTGAAGCTATTTAGCTGAGTGAGAACCAGAGATAACGCACAGGCATTCAAATACAAAAATAGATTTCAATAATTTGAGTCACTGCTGAAACATTATTTCATGTTTAGTAATAAAGAAGAATTCAAGTCTTCTACCTTACTTTTTTGTTTGATTCTGACCGACTAACACGGCTGCCCCACTTTTTGAAATGATGATGTTGATTGTAATTGTCTTTATTCATTTGCATGTTTTCGTTTATCTACGAAGGTGGGGAAACACCCATGGTTCAGAGCTCTACTGCACGACATAACACGTATTTTGAAAGGTCTTTAGTGGAATACTGAGTGATCCATTTTTTTTATGTTTTATTTTTATTTTTTGTCATTTAGATTATAAATGATAGGTTGACCCAGTATATTTGCATAAGTGACTTTTTCTCGTGAGCAATAATCGTCATTGTGAAGCTTGCTGTTAAAATACAAATCTATTAAACAGTGCTTAATAAGAATACGCTTGTTGTTGTTTTAGGCATGATTAATTTAAAAAAATGTTTCGATAACCATAATAACGCATATAAAACCACTATGGGTTAGTTCTTCAAAAAAGCTTCAAAGGTTTTTGTTCGACGTTTACGGTTCCTATAGGTCTAGTAATGGAGCTACAATGTTATTGCAACAATCATTATTATATAACACACGACTCCCACCACCACAACCTAGTAAAAGTAAAAGAGATCCAAGTACAATGAAAATTTTCTGAACTGTAGTTAATCCCTTGCCAGTACAAGCAGGTAGATCAGGGTGCCAGCTACCATCCGCCTGACAGGTTATTTCCGAAGACCCTTCCAGGGTATAGCCATCATCGCATGTCACTATCAGAGTTTCACCCACGAGATACAGAGCTTGTGTCCCATAATGATGCACCACCCCGTTCTCTACATTAGCTGATGGGAAATCGCAGTTGAACCCAATCAGCGCTGTCTGGACCTCTGTGGTGGCAAGTGCAATGGAAATAACCACCACGAAAAAACAACTTTCCAGTGGACGCTTCATTCTTCAAACTGCAAAACAGGATAATTACCAGATTGGGAGTCCTGGTCTTCAGCGAATGCGTAAATTGGGAAGTTCAATGTTCTCAGCTGAACAACAAAGTGATGTGTTGAAACTAGAGCCGTTAATGATTCGTCCTGAAGCCGGGCGTTGTTTGAGAATCCGTATAGTATAGGGAATGTGTTCCTGGGTGAAAATAAAAAAATTATATTAAGCCATTGGCCTTGGATTGGATTTTTTTGTATTTGTGGTCAATGCAAGAATCAGGAGGGGTGTTATGAAGCCCCCAGCCACGTGCACGTGACACAAACACACACTCACACCTACTGGAATTTGTATCCTTGTGGAGACATTTCTTTGTTCTCATGTACTTACATTTTCGAATGTGTAAACGTACTTTCAAAATGCTCCTATTTTAACCAGAATTAATTTCCTTGGCTGAAATTCGGACTTAACATCCCTTTTCTAAAACTCTGCCATTTGCGAAATTCCTAGTTTTTGAGTAAAATCCATATATCTATTTCGTGATACCTTGTGGAGACGTATTCATCTATAGAAAGTGCCCTGTGGAGACGTATACAATCTTTTGTTCCCTATATTGTGTGCATGTCTCGAGAGGGCACGTTGTATCAGATCACTTTGGTTTATGGTGTAGATCGATAATTTTCAATTGTTCTTCTTCACGTTTCCATTGTTAATGCTCTTGTTTGCAACATCTTTCATTGGTTTTGTACACGTTCTCTAACCGAGGAGTCCTCGATTTGCTTCCTGTCCTCTATTCACTGATGATGTGGCACGACGTGTGTCCTCGATTTACACCATAAACACGCACCCAGTCGTGTTTTTCTATACTCCTGAGGACCTGTCCCTTTCCTTCTTTTGTTCCCTTTTTTGTACTTTTTTTTTCTCGACAGCTTGCATAAGGTTAGTAGGCCTACACGAAATTCCCCCGAGGACTAGTGCCCAGGTCCTTGGGCAGCGTCGGGCCCATTGTTATCGCACACACCCCATTGTCCCAAGTCCTCGGTCGTATAGAACTTGTAAACGCCAGCAATCGTGGACCAGTCCCTAATCCTCATTTTTTGTGTACTTTAACTTTCCTCCAGTATGTTTTGTACACGATCGTCAATTCGTGGACCTTCGGGTCAATTGTGGACCCTGTTGTCCTCTGTTTTTCAACATCCACAATTTAAATGTGTAAACGAGGACACTCTTGCCCCATCTGTGGTAATTGCGGTTTCACATGTTGTCGATTGAAAATTGCGATGGCCTCATCAAGCTTTTAAAAAGTCAGTTGATCCTCCAGCATGCTTCCTGGATCACCCCCCCCCCCCCCCTCATCCTGTAATATATTTCAGAGTCCATGTGGTTAATTTACTGGTTTGGTTGATTAAAAAAAGGATTTACCTTTCAATAATTAGCTTAGCTCCTCAGTCGAGAAATCACGACCAGTCTCTCATCAACTCAAGTTTGCATCTGCGAAAAAGAATCTGCCCTGCCGCCCCCTCCTTTATGTAGCAGTGTTTGTGCGTCGATATGACAACGCTTTGGGGAAAGTCCCAGGTATGTCCCCAATAAATTGTTTTTGTGGTGTGGGTTATATTTTCTTTCAAAGGTACCTCAAAGAGATTATTTCGCGATATCAAAGGGTCATTACGACCTGAAATGCCCCGAATAATAGTTTTTGAGGTGTACTCAGGCCTATCCAGCTTCCTCTTTCAATTTCAAAGTTGAAGAATTTCAAAGTTGTTTTTTTTTTCAACTCATTTTGGCAGGACGTTATTTGGTTCATGTAGGCCTAATAATACGATCACATGTCCTGTTGCAATTAAATTAAATGGCACTCCAAGTTTGCCAGAAAGTGGAAATGGTCCTCAACGTCATCGAATACACTGAGCAAAGTTAGAAGCAGCCGCGTTAAAATTGATTGGCTGCAGCTGGATATAATTGTACAGGATGAGTAAAAAAGAAACAAAACCCAAATGTCGGGACCATTGTTTTAGTGAAGTTCTGCATGTAGCACTGTCAAAATTTAAAATATGAAAGCCCAATTCATAAGCTTTCTTTTCGTACAAGAATCATTCACATCGCTCATGTACTTTTCAAGTTACGGGATTTTAAACACAACCACCGTTTTAAAGTTCTGTCCACGGATAACCACTGATGTACGGATTCGTTCAAACTTTGTAGTTTCATTGTCAATGAATCTAAAATATCCTCATTGACGGTGCAACCTCTCTCTAAATTCCAAAGAGTGAAATTAGGGACTAGTCGTTTTAGAGTGAAAATCACTCTCATTTTGGATTGAAAAAGTCTGGAAAAAAACACTTCAGTCGAAGCTCGAATGAAAACTTGATCTTTACGATGGAAGGAATTTCACTCTAAAACGTCTAGTCCCTAGTTTCCGACTGTAGGAGTGAATCTTCCTTTGAATGGAGTGAATATTCACTCTTTGAAATTTAGAGAGCGGTGTCTATTCCAACGTCTGTGTGTTAGAGCATAAGCCATCCCGTCCCCTAACGCCTCTGTCAAAAAAAAAATATTCAAATTTGAGTTCGCATGTGACATTTTTTAATAGGATGTCATTGTAGTCACGTGATGCCAACTTTCGGCAACTGGTTCTCTTCTTCACCGCGTGTGTTCCTCAAAATAAACAACAGCAACAGCGCCCTCAGTTGTCAGGAAAAGCAGGAACTTTTTTTAATATTTCCAGTAAGGCACTTTTTTTGCAAAAGTAACTAAAAAGGTATGTCAAATAAGTTCATACATTTAAGAAGAATAGAAAGTTGCACAAAATATCTTCCCAATTGAAATTCATGTCATGATCCCTTTAAAAACGGACTGCATTGTCCATTAAAAACAATATCACTATTATTTTTGGACGTTTTCAAAACAATGCTGGCCCAAAGTCATGGGCGGGTAGTCGAATGAGCCCCCCCCCCCCCCCCAGACCGCAACCATGGTCTGAGGGAGCTGTCGTAAACACACAACAGCCGTCGGATATCGTTGCCTGCGCTGAGAGGGTGGCGGAGGCAAATGACAGATTCTGCGAGAACATCCAGAATGAGATGATAGCTGGGCACAATGCCTGGATGGAGCTCAAGCGAAGAAAGGGGTAAGCAGGAACCCCTTTTGGCACACACGCCGGAGGGCGGTGTAACAGTGATGTTACAGGTCATTATTAAGGTCACTGACGATTATGTAACCCTATTAAAAATTCGCTAGTATTAAAATGTACAGGTGTTTCTGATATAAAATTCTACTTTGAGATTGAATTTAGGGCCTAAAACAAACTAAGAAGAGGAAGTTAAATCTTACTAAAACTGCGATATATTAGGCCTGCACGAAACAACTATTTGACCAGTGGAACTTTTCCTTTTTAATTTAGAATGTTCTTTGCTGCAAAACACAAACAAGACCAAAAAGAAGGAAGTCGAAGAAATGCATTTGAAGAAAAAGTGCCTCACAAAAGGCAAAAGGGAGATGTCATGATGCCTAGTCAACCAAGTGACATCACTGCAGCGCCACAACCAGAACTCGATGGTGTAGTCTGGTACCGGGGAAGGCTCGTCAAGCTATGCTGGCCCCACCCAAGCGAGAATATCTCAGATGCAAAAAGATCTACGAAGACGCGCAGCAAGACGAAAAAGAAGGAGTAAGTTGCCCATCTCTTAATCTATTCTTGTTGACCGACCCTTAATTCCTCATGTGACAAGCCAGACTTGGTCATTTTGGATCCTTAAATTTGTTTCTGTCGACATCCCAGGCCACAAACGGCTTGATTCTTTCTAGCTCAAAGACCGAAAACCGGCCAGGGATGGCCAGTTCTCAGGGTCACTTCTCTCTACAAATTTGGCAGGATCATCACTTGGCCTTATGTTTACGTTTATGCATCCCATGCATGTGGTAATCTTGGCATCCATCCACGCTAGCTTTTAGCATTAAGGGTCATTGAGAAATTGAAAGAACAAAAATCGGGAGCTATATAGTAGATATTCAGTGACACTTACAATGTCTTGGGATAATTTTACGAACGGAGAAGTTGACCGTTTTGAACTATCTCTTGACTTGTGATATAAAAACAGCCTTTCCTAGGCATGAGTTACTTATTCAGTCATCTTCTTGTTTCCACCATAAACCAAATCAGAACACATTCTTAAGAACCGTGTTGTACTTTACTGTTTCCTTCTAGGGATTCTGGCGAGCCAGTTGCTCTCGGGTATGTCAAGCCGTTTTCTCCACCCAATCAATCAGATGACGACCTTGACTACATGTACCGGGCGCAGATACAGCCAACCATCATCAACTCCATGCTCTGCCGAAAAACTCCGCCACTGAACTCCAACTCGAGGGGAAATCTGCACATTCCAAGTGGCAGCATTTTCAGCCAAGAATCCCTGCACTTTGACCCTGACTTGACCCCCTCTAATCCCCTGGTCTGGGCCTACGAGACACTGAGAGATCCGCGGAAGAGACGCAAACCCCGCCTGAAGAATTTTCAGAGGGTGGTGGACGCAAGGAGGCACAGGACGAAAGTACGGAAGATAAAGTAAAAGAGGCTGGGATCAGACGAGATTATCTACGTCACTGAAGAAGAAGAGAGTTAAAGGGCTCATGCATCATTTCTTTAATGCGATTCTTGAAATTACACCTTTGTTTCGCAATTAATTTCATTTTCAGTTTTCATTTTGTCATTGTCAAGGGTATTTTGATGCTTTTTTGAATTGTATGTTAATACGATTTGTCATATTGATGAGCAAAAGTGTGATATCACTGACTGGGCAGAAACCTCAATGTACAGCTATTTCAGCACCAAACGTTGCTAGAAGTTTGAATATTTTGCTGTCAGAATTTCTTTTTGGGATCGGGAGGTAGGTTGATTTGTTGTTGTTTCACTATGTGACGGTAATTCAATGAGCAAACTTTTCTCACAAGTTTTTTTTCAACAAGCAAACTTTTTGGTTCACATTTTGAACAGAAAACCTCTTAAACGAAGAGTGTGTTCCGCAAATGAAATCACAGCAACAACGCCCTCAGTTGTCAGGAAAAGCAGGAGCATTTTAAATCTTTACAGATGTGCATTTTTCCACAGACACAAATAACCAAAAAGGCGTGTCAAATAATGTTCATACATTTTTTTTTTAAATTAGAAAGTTGCACAAAATATCCTCCCCATTAAAATTCATGTCATCGTCCCATGGTCGAATGAGCTAGGCTGAATTTGGTAGTGGTGCATTTTAGACTTTTAAACTTTTTTGTGTATTGTGGTATTCCGTTTGAGGGTCAAATCACGTACATATATAACCCTATTGTTACCGTGGTTGAGGGATTTTCCCAACTAGCCCAACTCGAAGTGAACTTGAAAGAGTCGCACTGTTTCACTTTCCGTGGGGTAAAACCATAAAGAAAGAAACCGGGGAGCTTTTGTGTTACTGAGGCGCATTAAAGTTGGCCCCCAAATGAGCTGTTGGCAAGATAATTTACGGTTGACCGTTGGGCAAACTCGACCGTTGGGCAAACTTGACGACCGTTTTCTTTGCCAACTCAACCGTTTGCCTACACGTTCATGAAGTGCGGCTGGCGCGGTTTTTTCTCTGGGACGATTTACTTACGTACAGGCCTAGTATTATGCGAGGTCATTCTTTTAAAAAAATTAATAGATCTTTAGTGTAGCAAAAAAATCCTTTACCCCATTCATTGATCGTGTCCACAATGCAAACCATCTCACTGCCTAACCCGAACAGTCTCCTTTCAAACGTCCATTCAGAAAACGAGAATAATTTATTGTTGTGAAAAGGCATATAGCCATGAATCAAACGTGTTTCTTAACCGTCGTTTTTACCATTAAACACCCCCATTCCCCGGAAAAAAACACGCCTTTAAAACGGATGAGTTGGACAACGGACGACTTGACTTTTTTAAGTTGAGTTGGCAAACGGTCGAGTTGATTCCAGTCGAGTTGGCAAACGTGTCGAGTTGACTGGCTGGATACCCGTTTAGTTGTCGCAATATATGGGCTTCAAGGTGACCGTTTTAGCCGATTTTCGGCTAACTTTGGCAGATTTTTGTTGTTGTAAAAAACGAGTTTGACAGAAAACTTGACAAAATGGATTGTTTGGCAGATTTCTGGTAGAATTCTGCAAAAATGGTTATTTGACAGATAAACGTAGCAAATTTGAAGGGAAAAAATGGTACATTTAAAAAGCTTCAATCTTTTCAAACAAACCCTTGCATAATGGGACATGGTCTAGGTGCCGGACTGGCAACCAGACTTCGTCGTGACGCAACCGTATTTTTTGTCTAAAATTTACGAAATTTCATAACATATTTTTGTGACTATAGATTGTTTATTTAATTTGAACCTTAATTAAGGCAATACTACAACTTCTGCCTGTGATTCTTAGTGTTTATAGTGTATTTCGAGTAATTCTTGTGAATTCGGCAGATTTTTGATCAATCTGACAGATTTTTGAAG